TATAGAATAAAAGTGCTACCTTGTTTGAGGAGGGTAAAATGCAATTGAATTGACATTTACATAGGGAAAAGATCATAGATTATAGCCAATATGAGGTAAATTCTTCAAGACACCCTTTCTAAATAGGTGGTCCAAGGCAAAGAATATTTTAAATTTTTTTTTTTAGTTTAGTTAAGCATATATATTAAATTTATTTGACAGTTTTACTTTAGCTTCTTTTTTTTTTGATTATAAGTTTTTTTCATTATAAGTTTTTAGATATTTTCATTATAATTTTTTTTTTCATTATAAGTTTTTAAATATTTAAGTGAAAGTGCTTTGTATGATTTTTATGTTTTATTGTGTTAAGTCTATTCACTTTCAAAGCTGCATTAGCTTTTAATGCGTTATTTTAAGGTTCTCGTTACATATTTGTATTTTTAGCATGTCATTCAATGTGTTATTCTAGCTGTTAAAAAGATTGGGAATATTATGCTTGTCACTTTTCTTTTTCAATTTCTATTTGCTGTGATTGGTATACAACTTTTTAAGGTAATTATTATATAATATTGTCGCTTGTGATTATCCATATTAACATTGGTTTGATAATTAATGAAACATAAAATTTAAAATGGATGCAGTTTAATAGAATAAATTAAAGTTTTGTTTTTTAATTTTATATAGTTAATAGATTTATAGATTATTATAAGTTATTTTATATATATTTTATAATTTTATATATTTTTTCAATGTAATATGTTTTAACATTAATTTATATTATATATATTTTTATTGAGTTTATATATTGAAAAATATATTTAACTGGTTTAAATCTTAACAAAGCTTTCATTCTTAGGGTACATTTTCGTTTTGCAATGATACAAATAAAACAACTAAAGTTGATTGCATGTAAGTATTTTATTTTTATTTTGAGTAGTAGATAATAAGCTAATTAAATAATACACAAATTAAACTTATATTAACTTATAATAGCTTAATTGTTATAATTCACACATCAGCTGTTGTAAGACTATATAGAATATAATGATGACATAATTGCTGTAAAATACTCTTATGATGACATAAGTTATTGCAAACCAAACCTCAAAATACGCAGAGACAATTGATGCTCTACTGTCCCAAAAGCATAGGAGGCACAATTATTTGATTTACCTACCTTGTAGGCCAAGAAGGAAGCCAATTGTCTTCAAGCCTCTACATAAATTCCTTTGATATATGTTGTATTTAATTTTCTCAAGCAAAAATTTAACGTTGATGACAGAATATTGGAATATGTTACAGACCTTGTTTTAAAAAAAAATGCTAAATGCATTAATGTTCTCAATGTGAGTTTGGCGCTTTAAAGTCCTTAACTTTTTTTTTCTTTCAAGGGCAATAATTTTTTTAAACTTTGCAATCTAAAAATTTATTGCAAGATGAGTTCAATTAAAAAATTAACTCTATTATGTAAATATATTATGGAAGTGCATTTTTTTAATATTAAATTACTAAATTAAATATTACATTTATAAAAATATTTAACAGATACTTTGAACATGTTTACAAACTTAATATTTAGTAGAAAAAAAAACAAGAAAAAACAATTGCAGTAAAAATATGCTTTTTTTTTTCTTAATAAACATTTTATTATTAAACAATATTTAGTTATTAAATAAAATTGATATTGAAATTAAATTTTTTTGTTTTTATATTTATCTGAATTTATTTCATTTGTAAATAGCACTTATATCAAACATAAAATTCAAACTTTTGTAACAAACTTTTTTACATAATTGTCATTTAAATATTTAAGTGGATTGTATAACATTGTTTACTTCTTTTATCCTTCTGCCTAAAAGACATCTTTAAACACATTTAAGTATTAAAAATTATACTTAACCATAACATAAAAATTATACTTAACCATACTTAACATACTTAAGTATACTTAACCATAAGCGTATGTTTATGGTAAGCTTTGTAATGCTTTAAAACAAGGTTTAATATTAGCTTTAATGTTTCATTATTAATTTTAATAACATTAGAAAATGCTCTCATTTTATCCATTTTTTGGAAAGGAAAAAGCTTTATTTTTAGATTGTAAAATGTGATATGATAGGTTTATAAAAATGCTGCAAAGATTTTAATTAATAAAGTTTGAATTTAATGAAGTTTGCAAAAAAGTTGAAGTTGCAATCATATATCTTAAACAAGAATTTGATTTTTCCGATAAAGAATAAGAGAAGATTAAAGAACTATGTGATACTCTTGCTTCCATTGAGATGACTGTAGAATGTTTATGCAAAGATAATTCTGATCTTTTACATCCTGAAAAAGTTGAATTTGCTGCTAAGAAGCTAACAATTAAACCAACATCAGTGGAGCCAGAAAGAGCTTTTTCAGCCATGAGATAGTTTGCCTCAAAAATTAGAAATATATTGGGAGATGATACCCTTGATGCTTTGATGCTTGTTTCTATTAATTCAAAACCAACAGCGGAAAGCTGGTTAATCAATAGTCCTATTCCTGAACAAGTTGGAGAAAGCTAAAGACTGTAAGTTAAGTGCTGTTGAATCACTGAGCAGTTTTGAACAAGTTTGAAATGATTCATAATGTCACCAACATTTATTAGAGAACAAGATATTGTACCTTAGATATTACCAAGATATTGTAACAAATGTGTGTATGTATATATATAAAAATATATGTATGTGTATATATATATATATATATATAAATATATGTATGTGTATATATATATATATATATATATATATATATATATATATATATATACAGGGCATATTCTAGGGAAAAAAATTTGGGTGGGGTACCCCCTTGCTCTGGCAAACTTTAGCGGAAAGTCGGTAGTTTTTTCGCAAAAATAACAATATTTGATGTAAAAAACTTTAAAAAAAAAAAGGTCCTCAAATTTTAATTTGGGCAGCGCCCAAATACGATTGACGCTGTCGAAAACTGTCTAGAATAGCCCCTGATATAAATATATATATATATATATATATATATATATATATATATATATATATATATATATATATATATATATATATATATATATATATATATATATATATGTAATGTAAAATAGTAAAACATAGAATGTAAAATTTATTTTCAAACGAATGTAATATTGTAATAAAAATGAATAAGAATGTAAAAAGCAATATTTATTAAAGCAGAATTTTTTTTTATCTGCGAACTAATTTATTATGCAAAAGATAAGTCTCTCCATAGATTAAAGTATAAAAAGCAAATAAAAAACTTTTTTTTTTTTTTTAAATAAAAAGAAAGGAAGTAGTTTTTTTGTATACAAGAATTATTTTCACAATTGTATTCAAAATATTTTGTTTATTTATAATTCAATATAGTTTTTTTTTTTGACCTAATTTATATATACAAATATCTTATTGGTAACTAATAAAGTCTATCTATAAATTGTTTATAATTTTTATTAAAAATACTACATTAAATTTAAATACTAAATAAATTAATGAATAAATAACGAACAAATTATAATAAACAAACAAAAGATTATGTTTAGTATAAAATTGTTTTAAGAAATAAGTTATATATATAATTTTTTTATTTTTAGTGGAATGTTTGTTGATGAAAATGGAATGGTAAGGACTTAAATTTTGAAATCAAAATAAGAAAAAAGAAAATCTTTCTTGTGCTGATTTACATGGTAGATGTTTAACAATACTGTTTAATCCTGCACTCAATATTTTTTACGAGCTTCTTTGTCGTTATATTAAACATTTAAGCACAGTTTTACTTTTTTCATTATACATTAAACTAAGTCATGTGTAAATGTTAGTAAATAAATCCTAAATAAATAGATGATCAAAATAATGTATCAAATGACCCCTAAAGTAATTCTGATCATATGTTTGAATAATGAGAAATTTTTAAATAATTTTTTAGTGTGAGTAAATAAAAGTAAATAGAATAAGTGTAAAATCTCTTATTGATGCCTAATAAATGTCTTATTGTTTACAGAATTGTAGTAATCAGTGCAATAAGAGGCTTTCATATCATTATGGATTATGATGTTTGACTCTTTAAATATGTAGTAGTAACTAATTTCTATGATTTTATTTTTAACAAATCAAAGATTGAAAATGATGTAAGTAAATGATTGCTTGGTGTGTTAAGACAAGCAATAAAATTATTTTCTGCCAATAACATAACAGAGTGATTTACTGTGACTTGATGAAATAAAGAACCAATTACATTTCATAGTGAAATTACATTTCTTGTTCATGGTTGCGTATAATTATAAAGTATTTGTAGTTAAAGTATATTTGTATAAAGTATTTGTAGCCAGCACACTCATAAGTAAAATTATGAACAGTTTCTATTATTTGAGTATTATTGCTTTTGACATGCTTGATTATTTGTTTTAACACATGATATACCATATCTACATCATGCAAGTTAACAACGGTTAAACATATTAAGTTACATTAGAAGATACTGTTTATTTTGTAATAAACTACTGTTGGGTAAAACATTGCTTGAATTTTATGAAAACAAATTTTATTTTTATTACTATGTCTTAAACTATGTTTTGTAAACAACAAAAAACTTATGAAAAATTATGACATATTTATTATTGATAGAATAATGATGCACTACTTAACTTATTTTCAAATTTTCAAATTTATTTAATTTAAAATAAAAGCTTGGCTTTCTTTTAAACAACTTATCAGTATACTTAAGTAGGTTAGTTTGTAGTTGTTTGTAAGCTATACATGAATAATCTTCATTTTATTAATTTTTCTTGTTTCTTCTCATAATACTTTGTGGATACAATTCATTTTCAAGGTAGCATCTGAATCAAGGTAGCACCTTCTGCAACATAAATAGTTTTACTGCAACTGTTTACTATTAAACAAATAATATTATAGTTAAAATTCTGTGATGTTATGTTCTTAAAAAATAAATGGCGCTGAAAAACAATAGATCAAAAAAAATAAATTGAGTCAGTGTATTGATATCTTGAAAATCTTAAGGAGTTGGCACATGTGCATGAGATGGTATAGTGTCAAAATTTGATTTTTGACTCACAATTAGCCATTTATTTAATGGAGGAAAAGAATTTTGAGGCATGGATTTACATGAGAAAAAACCATAATGAATTAATTTTTTTAAGAAACAAGGAAACAGCTGCTGTAAAAAGATATGATTTAACAAAATGCCAAATTCGATGCTTGTAAATTATGTTAGATAATGGAGATGCTCACTTCTCCATCTTGTTCCTTCTAACAAAATTTATTTTTTATTCAAACAGTATTTATCTTAGCACTTATGGTAGAGGTAAAGAGTTGCAACAATTATGAAACAATAATAAGCTTTTTTTTACAATGAGACATTAATAAACTGTTTTTAACAGATAATTTTATTATAATATGTTACAAATTAAATGCATGGCCACTATTTTTAGAATGAAACACGTAAATGGGAAACCCACGAATTTAACTTTGATAATATTTTTGAAGCCATGACTACACTATTTGTTGTAATGACATTTGAAGGATGGCCAGGGTAAGCAAAACAATGTTAAAGAATGTTAGAATTATTTGTTGTTCGAATTTTATTTTTTTTTTGTTAGTTTCTTTATTTTTTTTTTAATTTCCTTTTAGTATTTTATACAATGCTATTGACTCAAAGGGTGTGGATGTTGGCCCTGTTAAGGACAATAGGCCTCTTGTTGCAATTTATTTTGTGATATATATTATTATAATTGCGTTCTTCATGGTTAATATATTTGTTGGATTTGTTATTGTGACGTTTAAAAGTGAAGGGGAAGAAGAATTCAAGAATTGTGAGCTTGATAAAAATCAGGTATACATTTGCGGTAAAATTTTATTAAGTAGCAATTTAAAAAAATATATATTTTGATAAAAACCAGGTTTTTGTTTGCACTTAAGTATTACTTAGTAATAATTTAAAAGTTAAATATTTTGACAAAAACCAGGTATACATTTGCGCTAAAGTTTTATTTATATTTTATGAGCTGTTATAAGCTGTATAAATTTTGTGTTTTAATGATTTATATTTTATTATAACCAACAAATAAATAATTGCAATAGTAAATGTTTAAAATTTTATTTCAAGAATAAATTTAGAAATATTATGTAGTACACTTTGATAAAAAAAATTTGGCTTTTAGTATAAAAAACAATCCTAACAATCAGCATCAGAAATTGGATTTTGGATTTCATTCTGTTTTAGTTGCACAGTTGCACATCAGCATTTTTATCAAAAGACTACATGTAGACTATTTGTTCAAAATTTTAAAGTGCACTGTTTCAGTGAAAATTGTTTTTATTGTTTTCTTATTAAAGCCTAATAAATTGGATGTGGTGCAAAAATGTTTGGGTACATCAGAATAAAAGTTGGTCAAAAACCTAGCTGTTTCTTGAACCAGAATGCTGTTAATAATGTTGGTAGCAGTGTTCTGATATTAACATTGATGTTCCTTACAAAAAGTTTAAACAACTATTATCCCATGATAAAGGTATTGTTGTTAACTACCAAACTTTTTATTAGCGTCTTGATAAAATGGAGTTCAATCAACTGGTGACATATATCAGCTGTTGTGCCAAGATCTAGAGTACTATCTGAAGTGATCTTATTTGGTGCAATTTGTTACAATAGTCTTCGCTATGCCATCTGACCCAAGAGTAGTTTTTTAACACTACAGTGTTTGAAGACTAAGAAACGAAACCTGCTCTTGAAGACCACCCTTAATACTTTTTCCATGAATTCTCTGAATGGTTCTACAATGTTGTCAGAGAAACAATTTTCTTTACTTGTTATGGCTTTGTTCACATTTTTGATACTACAATACTTACTAACATTAATGAACAACACCATTAATTATCAAATCATCTTAGGTGCATAAAAACAAAGAGGAACTCCTGTTATAGTTCAAAAATTTATGAACAACCTTCATCCTACCATCAAGTTTACTTTTAACCATTTAAGTAGTGTCATCCACCTTTTAGACATCTACAAAAGTCCATAAAGGCAAATTCATGCAACTCTATAAAATAGAAAATGTAAAAAACCATTTAAGAAAAGTGAGGGTTACAATCAGGAAAATTTCATTTAAATGTTTGTAGTATGCTTTCATTTTATTCATAAAATAGATGGCTGTGTTTTACTTACAGAAAAAAAAAAAGAAAGGTGCATGGTGGTGAAAAATTTGTTCAAAGTTTGAAAGTGGTTTAAAATGTGTTAAATATAAGAACCTTAATGAGACATTAATCGAGATGGGTTCTTTTTTCCTTGATTTCGTAGGATTGTTATTTTCCAGGCATGTCAAACTCAACTCAACATGGGGGACTATGATAAAATAAGGAAATGCTGCGAGGGCTGCATAAGCTTATATTCTTGATATCATTCTTATATAATATTTTCTATAACTATATTAATTCTTCTCTATGAAGCTTTTCTAGCTTCTTATGAAGCATAAGTAGCGCAGTGGTAGCACACTTGCCTTAGAAGCAAAGAATCTGTGGTTAGAAACTTCCTATTAAATGCTCATCTGCGGTGCTCTGTGATAAGACTATAAGGACTTCTTGGGGCTAAATAAAATAAAATAACCTAAATAAAATAAAATTAAAAAAAAAAGTGCTTTATAAAGAAGTCATAAGTACTTCATAAAGGAGTCAGAAATAAACTCATTAATTCAGTTATTTACTATGGCTTGTAATGAACTGTTAGCAAGGTAGAAATTCCACTTGAAATTTTTTGAAAGACCATCACAACACATATATACAAACCAATAAAAATAATAAAAATGCTAATGTTGTATTTTGTGATAATATTAAAAAAGATTTTCCAGAACTTTAGCATTTTTTATTTTAAATGTACAGGTATCTGCCAAACATTGCACATATTTGACAACCAAATAAAATCATCTTAGGAAATCAACCATGTGGTAAAAAAAATAAAATTTGGGTGCATAAGTAAATTTTTATTTAAAAAACTGAATTACACTGAATTTTAATCAATGTATTTGGAGGTCCATTTTTTTACTGGTGAAATTGATTAGCGAGAAGATATTTCAGAACAAAGCAAATTAATCTCTTATAAAGTCTTGAAACCTTACTTCAAAGTCTTGTTTTATATTTTTTAAATATTTTGAGTTGCTACACATGATATTGAAGCGTTGCACCTTCATAGATTCTCTTTTTCATATTGATGTTTTCAATGTAAAAACCTGGTTTGAAGAGCACAGTATCAATCATGGTAGTGGCAAACTTGTTTCTGATCTCCAAAAAGATGTCTGTGTCTTTAATTGTACATAGGAATCAACTGAAGTTCTTCTCCAAAACTTCAACTCCAGAAGTTCTTCTGTAGTTTCATAATTGAAATTAAAACCTCTAATATCAACTTTCATCAACAATGATTAGAAAGACCTGAACACTAGTATTTTTTAAAAGGCCAGAACACTAGTATTTTTTGAAAGGCTTGAACACTATATAACAGAATTTTGTTAACTGACTCTTCAAATCTGTTGCTATGTTATTCACATTATCGGTTTATGTAAAAAAAAAAAATTAATTCTTTTTGGATTAACTTTGCAATTTCAATTAGTTAGCTTATGATAAGTTCATCTTTAATGTAAGATTTAAAATGTGTTGCAATTATTTGTGCCAAATTATATCTTACAATGGCTATGCTTCTATTGCTGCTATGTGTTCATTTGATTAAAATCTAAATCAAATTATCAAGTTGATTAAAATCTAAACCAAGTTACCAATTATCACCAAGTTTCAAGTTGTTGTACTCTTGCTTTTTAAAAAGAAACATTTTGTATTATATTATAAACACACATGCCTATATATAAAACTATGAATGGATGTTTAGGTATTCTGGCTTCACACTGAAATAACCTACTGCCAGTGGCTTTAGTTCATACATCAACTATATTATAGCCTACTGCCGCAATTTTTAAACATTTTTTTTTGTTGAAAAGTGTAAATTTGTTTTGTAATAAATTTTTTCTATTTATAATAAAGTTTCTAATACATTTAATAAACTGTTCTATACATTTTTAAGTAAGACATTATATTTTTTTAAGAGAAATTGTATTGACTATGTGCTGAACATTCGTCCAGTGTCTCGCTTCGTACCACAACATAAAGTTCAGTACCATATATGGCGTATTGTTACATCGAAGCAGTTTGAATACATGATTTTTGGTTTTATTGTAGGCAATACTATAGTTTTGGCTGGACAGGTATGGTTTTATAAAATAAAAGTTTAATAAATAAAAATGTAAAAATAGCAAGCAACAAAAATCACAAAACGTCAGATTAGTTTTCTGATAATCAGAGCGCAACTGTATATAAATCCAGTGTTTTTTTTTTTTTTAATATGATATAAGTAATACTCCAGTCTTGATAAAACTCATTACATTTTGAATACTTAGGAAATGTCTTGAATGTAATCTCTCCTCTGTGACAGCTTGAAGTTTGCAGTAAATGGTGATTTAAACTCAAACAAAACACATATGTTTGCTGCTAATATTTATTGCAATAGATGATTCTATTTTGATAACAACACTCTTATTACTGAGTCATTTAATTTGTGTCTTTTTAGATTATCCTTCACTGTTAATCTCACATAATAATTATTTATACAATCTGTTAAGGTTCTATACATCTGCTAAGGTTGCCTTTATTGTTTTTTCTTTTTTCATTACTGTGATGTTTCTGCTTCTGAAATCTTTTTAAAATTTTTTTAATAAACCTCTTTACTGTTGGACTGTAAAGAGGTTTATAACAGTAGAGTAGAATCATAAGAAAATAGTGAGTGCAAAAAGTGACAACTAGCTAATTTTGAAATATATGTATATATGGTTTCTCTGAGAGGTCACTAGTAAAAGATGACTCCAGAAGTAAAGTAAATGATTCAATAAAAATCATTCAGATGAATCAAATTTGTTTTTATGTATATAATCTTCAATTGATCAATTAAATTTGTTTGAAAATATATGAACTCTTTATTGCTTTAATAAAGATTATCTTAAATTTTATCATCCACTTCAAGCTCCAAGCTGTCACAGATAATATTCAAGATAACTACATTGCTGTATAATAGAGTGCTCACCTCATAAGCAAGAAGTTCTGAGTTCGATCCCCACCATGCCTCTGTTAGTACTACATTCAACTGTTTCTCCGCACAGTGGCCTTATTCGTCAAGGTTTGTGTTTCAGAGTTATATAGTGTTGAGTTAACATTAGGGTGTTGAGTTAACATTAAAAAAAACTTTATTTAGATATTCACAGGTTTTTAAAATTTACAGATGCCATTTTTCATCAGTAAAGCAATATTCAATTATGCACTTGTTACATAGTTTAAAAGTTATCAATTAGATTTATAGAAAACATTTTTGCATGGCTATGGCTAAATTAAGCAACATATGCTTGAGTAGTTACAAAGTTTAACTTTATAATTAACTCAAAGATTAACCTGTTTGTCTGGGATTTCAGGGTGAGTGTGGTCATAAAGTTCAAGAAAGGTAATAAAATGAGACCTGCATATGATTAAGGGAATATTAGATTTTGGTAATGGCGTTATTAAATATTTTTTCAATTAAAACTACTCTGGCTGTTTTTTTTTCCTAATTAGGTATTTTTTATATATATATATATATATATATATATATATATATATATATATATATATATATATATATATATATATATATATATATATATATATATATATATATATATATATATAATTTGCATCAGTTAGAAATTTAGTATTTTGGTAGTGTATGTATGTATATGTTTTTCAATACAACATGTTGTTCATTAAGATTAAATGATAACAATTTTTATTTGAACATTTGAATTTTCTTAATACAAAGTTTCATGATTCTTTAAAATAGTTTTCATTTTTTTATCAACATTTTTTTTCTGGCAATAATAGAATCCCTTGCTCATTTTCAACTTGACTTGAAGTTCAAAAAAAATTAAAGGTATTTCAGTATCTTTTTTTTTGTCCATGGTTCTGGTGTTAAAATTTGCATTATTTAACATTGGTAATCTTTGTTTATGTTATTGTTTGAAATGGTGCTGTTTTTATGGTATGCTATAGAAAATCATTCTTGCTGGTTTTGCTGCCTTTGTTATGTTTCAGAAGACTTTTCAATTTAACAGGTGAAAACAGATCAAACAGGTGCAATTCCTTAGAGATATCAGGCATATACTTTTTCTTACATTGTGGTATCCATTTTTCCTATAATTTAAAATATTCATTAATTTCTACTGCTTTTTGTAACACTTGCTGCAGAAGTCCAGCATGGGGGTTACATATTTTCTTGTATAACCTTTGCTTAGTCAAAGGATATATTTACATTGCTTAAAAAAAAAACATTTAAATAAGTTTTTTTATTTAATAATAATTATCATAAACTTCAATAAAATACCTGTTAATTTTGTTTTAACTATAATGTCTTAATTACTTTTTACATTATTTCCTCAATTTTTCACATTTATGCATTTTAAAAGGATTGCAACGCCATTTCTCTCTTAAAATATTTGCTATAGAATTTCTCATGATAATAAATTTATATTGAACTATATTATTTTAATTTTGTTTGCTACTTTTCTTTTTAATGTTCACAAGGAAAATCTTTGAGCTAAATAAAGCCTTGTTTTTTTGTAAATCAAGTTTTGTGGCCATCAATATTAGGAATTTTTTTGAATGTCACATATTTTTTATCTATTACCCTGATGAAATGAAGTTTTACGAAACACTAAATTCTTAATATTCTTCTTTTTCATTTTTATTTTAGAGAACTTAAAGAATAATAATAGTTAAATAATAAACTTATTGATTTTCGGTAGTGATTGAAATAAATGAGAATAATAAATTTAAAAAAAAAAAAGCTACAAATGTTAGTAATTTTTTAATTATTAATTTAACTCTTAATTAAATTAATAAATTTACCTCAGATAAAACTCAATTTATTTCAGCTAATTGTTATCATAACAATCTAGATCTTACTATTTCAATAAAAGGTAATGTACTCCATGAGTCATTAAACCTTTATCTTCTAGGACTTGCTTACTTTTGATCTTCTTGAAAACTTTACATCATATAATTTTTTAATTTCTGATCTTACTTGGAAACCATATATTAATTCAATTGCTAAATTAGCATATGTTTTGCATCACTTTATCGTGCTTGCCACTATTACTCCAGATTCTATTCTTTATCTATTAATCTCATATCCAACCTTGTATGGAATTCTGATGCCATATCTAGAGTCTTAGAATTTTGCCCATTCTCTTTTATACAAGGTGCAAAAACATAATTTTGCACATAATTGAATAAATGAGGCGTTCTAAGTTTTAAAAGTTTTTTAGAAAAATTTCTAGAGCATTATTGAGATCTTAAATATTTATTTATTTGTTTGTTTTTAATTCACCCCTCCCCCCTCCTTTAAAGCCATGAAGACCACTACAGTCGAGGAGGCTACTTTAGTTGTGGTTACAACCCTCTCTCAACTATAACTCCGAAACACAAACCTTTACAAAAAAGGCCACTGTTTAGAGAAACCAGTTAAGCCTGGTACTATCTTCGTCGTGGTGGGGATCCAACTTGGAACTTCTTGCTTATGAGGCGAGCGCTCTACCACTACTACATGTAAGTTGCTTTATTTTCTTTTTAGATCATTAAAATGCTGAATCAGCATTTAGGGTTTTTATTATCAGTAATTGGATCTTAAAATCTAATGTGTATTTTAAAGTAAAATTTTCACATTTATTATTTATTTATTTTGGGCTGCATATAAAGTAAAAATGAACCAATTCATAAATGTGGCATGATCCATAATGATTTTGTATATTAGATATTATTTTATTATTTATTGTAATTCCATTTATTTTTTTATATCTGGTTACCTTCAAATATTATCATGAAGGTAACATACCTACAAAATTGACATCTCTGATGTAAGAATCCCTATTTGATTTTGGGTTAGGAGGGTAGTGAGAGTAGGAAAAGCTTGGAGTAGGAAGAAAGTAGGAAAAGCTTGTAAACTGTATAACTTGGTAATCTTTCAAGTGATACTATCCTATCCTTTCAAGTGAAATATCCTGATCTGCAAAGCAGAAGTAATATTAACATCACCAGGAAAGACAGCTAGTTGTAAAAAAATTGTTTTAACTATTTCACAATGTCATATTTAAATAAGAAAATGACATCATAGAGAACACACACATACACAAATATAAATTGATAAAATAATAAATTTTTATTTTAAAGAAAAACAAAACATTTTTTTTATATTAAGGTATATAAAGCATCTCCTTTATATGCAAGAATTCTAGATGGTTTCAACATTGGTTTTACAATGGTGTTTTTGTTTGAGTTTCTTCTTAGTTTAACTGCTTATGGACCTAAGGTTAATATGAGTGAAAATTATTATTATTATTTTTTTATGGATGAAATTAAATATTAAAAAGTTTTTTCATATTTGTTTTTAGAATTATGTTAAAGATTTATGGAATATCTTTGATTTTGTTGTTGTCTTGGGCAGCATTATTGATATAATTTTAACAGAAATTTATGTAAGTTTTTAATTTATGTACTTTATGTATATTATGGCGTATTTTTTTTTAATTTTTCGCTCAATAGTTTAAAAATATTTTGATAAAAATTATTTTTAGAGGTGCCCTAACATCCTTGAACAATTAAAGGGTCCCTAATATATATGTAAAAAAAGTTCTTAAAAAATAGGTCAACCTGGTACTCAAAACAAATAAAAACAAAGTAATAAGAAAAAAATCTCCAAAAATGGAAAATAATTTATTTTACCGCCAATATTATATGGAAAGAAAAGAAAAAGAACAATTTTAATTAATTTTGTACATAGTTTATGTTGTGTATTTATGTATATAAAAAATGTTGAATGTATTTATTTTTTTGCATTTTTCTCTGTCAATTTAGTTGTTGTTGCTTTTTCTATATCTGGATATTTACTTTTGTTTGGCTATTTTATGTAATGCGTAATATAGACTTTAATATTGTATGTAGTAGTGTATGTATATATTTTTTTAATTTAAGTTTGCCTTTTTTTTGCATTTTTTATATTTTTCTGCGAAAATTTTGTTCTCTCACTCTATCCTTCTGAACTTATGCAATTAAATTTTTGTTTTATAATAATATTTAAATTAATTTAGTTATTAATAATATTAATGTCTGAACAATATATCAGAAATATCTGAACAAATAGTACAGTCAAACTTCTATTTATTGAGTATAAACTAAAATCAGAATATATGCTGATGCTCCACCTCCACAGTATAAAGGTTGAAAGAGTATCTGTCTGGAAGGTATTTGTTTAAAGCACATAAACCATGTCAAGATTCCTTCCTATTAATGTGTAGGATTTTTTATGCAGAACGATTAAAGGAGTATGACAGAAAAATACACCATCAATTAGCAAATTGCTTTTCGCTGCACATTTTTATTCCTAGATTACATATAAAATATAATATATTATGGCAATATGCAAGACTTTTTGGGGCCCAGGGCTGTTTTAAAGCAGGAGGCTTATTTCCATAATTAATCAAAAAATTTATTTTTAGAGTTTTAAAAATATATTTTTCTAAGAAATAAAACCTCTAAAACTGTGGGGCTTTAGGCTATAGAACTGGCAATGTGCAACTCCATAAAGAAATATGCCAATGTTTTTAAAACTTTGAAAAGTTTAAAAAAATATTTAAATAATAATAAATAAAGGTAACTCGATTTTTAATAATATAAGGTAACTTGCAGCTGCGAGTTACCTGTGCAGGTAACATGTTATAAATAAGAGCCAATAAAAAACACAGTGCTTAAAACGACTTCTTAGACAGTGCTTAAAATGACTGTTATTATATAGACAGTTATTAAACAAATTTTGTTACAAATTCAGTGAAACTTTTTACAATCTCAGTGAAACTTTTTAATTGCATAATTTTTGTGCTTATTAACAAGATTGCTTTGATAAAATATCGACTTTAAAATCCTTTATTTGTTTTGACAGCATGATCACGCCATTAAGTTCAATTTTTTTCGATTATTTCGTGGATTGAGGCTGGTGAAACTTCTTAGTAAAGGTGCAGGGATACGCAAACTTCTTTGGACATTTATGAAATCATTTCAGGTTTATGCATATTTTTTTAGTTTGTAATGTTTTTTTTTATTAATTTTGTTATTATTTTTTCATTTTTTTAGTTACAATTTACTGAAAGAAAAACAGACTCCGAAACTTTTTAAAGCATATGTATACATGAGTATAATCAATAGTAATTAATGATCCGGAGTTAATCCACTGGTGTTCAGGGTGGTAGCTCTCTTAACAAAAACTTAATATTTGTGTTCCACTTTTATAAACTTTGTTTAAAAAAAAATATATACTTATATCAAAATATCGCTTCTGTTAATCTATTAATATAGAAAGAGATAAGACTGCAAGAATAGAAAAAAAAAAAAAAAAACACATTTGAAATCAAATGAAAATAATTGAAATACATCACCATTTAAAAGTTAAGAAGCAAAAAAAAAATGTTCATTTGCATGTTAGATAATATATGTTTCACAAACTTTGTTATATCAGCTGAAATCAATGTTAATTCAATTCATAATACAAATCACAAAAGTTACAAGTGAGAACAGTTAATTAAAATTCGATTTTTTAAAAAAAAAGGCTACTACTTGATTTATTTGCTCTTATAAAGTACAAATAAATCAAATTTTGGTAAACAATAGCATAATTAAAGCCCAATTTGTTTGTGAAATTTTATATTTTAATCACTTTCAAATATTTTAAAAGCAGTGAAGTCTAACTAATTATTAAATTATTTTTGAAATTTTATAATTCAATTACTTCAAGTTCTTTCAAAATCATAGAAAAAGCCAAAAAAAGTTTCAATGAAATAAAGAAACTAGTTATAAATACTGTAGACAAAAAACCTGAAGGCCTATTTATGTGTGTGCTTATGTGTGTGTATTTAGTACTGTATTTACCTTGCGAGGTTCACTACAGTTGAGGAGGCTGCTCAATTTTTTTTCTTTAAGGTTGTTTTTGCAACTATGTCTCTCATCCCTTTAACTCCAATAAAAAGGTTTTTACAACCAATGCTTCTTCACTGAGTTACAAGTTGAATTTAGTAATTTTGAAATTAAGAATTTAACAATAAACATATAATCAGAACAAATTTATAAATTCCTCATCAAATATGGCAGTAAAACTGTTATAAAATCAGAACAAATTTGTAATTTTTTTATCAAGTATGGCAGTAAAATTATTATAAAATCAGAACAAATTTGTAAATTCCTCATCATTTATGGCAGTAAAACTATTAAGCTTAGATTTTTTTACTTTGTTTTTCTTTTGTCAAAAAATGTACTAAATTTGGTTTTATGGGTACTAAAATTTGGTTTTATGGGTACTATTTGGTTTTATGGGTTTTATGGGTACTAAAATGTACAAAAATAATCTTGACGGTTTTCAACCAGTTGTTTCTGTTTTTCAATCACCTGTATCTGCGTTTTAAGGCCATTATACATTTAGTACTAAAATACATTTTCAGTACTTTAAGTACTAAAATACATTTTCAGTTTATAATGCAATAGAACTACAGTTAAATGTTTAAAAGCCAGGTGCAATTACCACAAAAGTGATTTTAACTTTGTAAAATAAATACCAATGACAATACATAATGTCAATTTAAATGATAGTTATTTTTGAATCATAACTACATAACAAATATGTTTATGTCAAAGAGTATATATAAAAATAGTAAGATGTCTTGTTGGCTTAATTATGTACTTAAATCAAATACAAAAAAAAAAAGTATAAAAACAATACAGAAAAATAAAATCCTTTGTACAAATAGAAAAAAGGTATAAAAAGTTTTAACTATAATTTTGTTTTTTTTATATATAGAGTAAAAAAACCATTCAAAGGTAAAGCTAAGCAGCATAAAAATTAAATTTCATATGAAATTTTGTAATATGCTATTGTTTTTAGATTAGTTAGCTGAAATGCAATCAATCATTATATTTGTCATATAAGTTTCTATTATATAAAGTTTTATATGTATACACCTCTATATTTCATCCTAATTTTATGCCTCTTTATACTACCTTATCCCTCCTCATCGTACATTATCCCTCCTCATCTTACCGTATCCCTCCTCATCCTACCTTATCCCTTCTCATCCTACCTTATCCTTCCTTATCCTACCTTATCCCTCCTTATCCTACCTTATCCCTCATCCTCCTTAACTAATCTTAACTTAACTCGTAATACTGTCGACTTTTTTATTCTCTTTGAATTTTAACTATTTCACTTTTTATTTGTATTCATAGGATTTGCTTGACTCGCTAATTTTTCTTGATGAGCGTGTAATTATTAAAGCTGTTCCATTATATTTTTGTATTAATATATTTTTATAATTAGATTTGAAAGTATCAAAGTAAACTAATTCAGTTTAATATTTTTTATTTTTTAGGCGCTTCCATATGTTGGCTTACTCATTGTATTATTATTTTTTATTTATGCTGTTATTGGAATGCAGGTAATTTTTTTAAATAACACCCTAAAATCTCTACTATAAATCATCTCTTTTTTAACTGTGTTTTCATATCAGGTTTTTGGTACAATAAGTATTGACAATGATGAGTTAGCTATCAACCAGTATAACAATTTTCAAACCTTTGCGGCTTCTGCTTTTCTTTTGTTTCGGTATGTAAATATAATTAATATATATATAAATTTTTAGTGGAAGTGAAATTTTTAGTGATTTTTAGTGCAAAAAAGTTTTTAAAGTTCAACTGTTCTGTTTTAGGTCTGCTACAGGAGAAAATTGGCAACAGATCATGAAAGCTTGTATTCCCAAAGAAGATGTAGTTTGCCAAATTGACAAAACTCGTAAATGTGGATCATATTTTGCTTATGTTTATTTTATGAGTTTCAACATGATATGTTCATTTTTGGTAAGTTTTAGAGCACTGTATTTTTTAATTGTGTTAAATATTCATACTTTGCAATATTGAGTAACCTTTAAAATCTAGAAGACATTTTTGTCAACTAGATTTTAGAAGGATAATTCTTATTAAATCAAACTTGCTCTTTTTTTTTTAATTATGAAGAATTTTTGTTCAAAGGTTAGTGTTAACATAAAAACTCCAAAATTCACAATTTTTTTTGTTAACAACATGTCATTATTATAAAATATTGAAAACAGCTTATCATTACATTAGTTGGAGCAAGAAAAGATCTTGGTTTGCAGTTAGAGTATGTGTAAATCTTGGTTTGGTTTAGAAGCTTTATTAAAGTCACCTGTTTTTTTTTTAATTTTTTTTCAACCATTGTTATGGTTGGAAAAAGCTCAAAGTAATGCATTGCTTTAAGCTTCCTTTAGAAATTGCTTTTGAAGAGTTGCACTATTTGTAGCATGTAAAACCTTACTTAAGTTAAAATGTTTAAAAAAACTTGAAAAAATTAGTTCATAAACTGCAAAATCATACTTTAAATCCATACCTCAAAACACAAAAAAGCTATGTCCATTTTTCTAAAATTTTCTGTAAATGCAAAAAGAAGTTTTATATATATATATATTGTTATCCAATGTCTTTACAGAACTCACTGACATTCATATGCATTGAGTGGTTGTCCATAAAAACCATTTCAGATAAAGTTAAGGAATACAAAAATTGTTTTCTGTGAATTTCAAGGAATACAAAAATCATACAAACATTCGTTTTCTGAAAGTTCAAATTTGAATGTTACAGTCATAACATTTAAAAAAAAAAGCCACTACAGGTTTTAAAAAAAAAGTCATGCAATGTATATTATACAACAAAAAGTTATAAGCAGTAAGTGTTTAATTTTTATTTATGTTTCCAAACTTACATTATTTAACATCACATAGTTTTTTACTAAATCCAAAAAAGAAAATAGTATTTTTGGTTTTAAGATTTTATTAGCAGAACTTGTTTTTAACTATTGTCACTGTAATTTTGAATTTATATCTCATATATTTAAATTGTATTATATTTGTTATATTAGTTTTGTTTTTAAAATAAAATCAAAGATAAGTTACACTATTAAAGCGTTACTTATTAATCAATATTATTTTTATTCGTTATTTTACATTTTATAGTAGGTTATATATAAAAGCATTCTTATACATAAAAATTAACCGTAAGAGGAATAACCCAACATAACATTTATAACTCAAAAAACTTTTCTGTATTGACATCATTTATCAACTAAAAAAGTGCATTAATCAGATCAGTATTAAAAAAAAAAGATTCTGTTTCAGTTTGGGTTGAGTCAATTTTTTTGTTTATATGTTTAAATGATTAAGCATGTCTAGGAACTTGAGGATCAGCAACTTGAGGATGAGCAACTTGAATCTTTAAACATAAAAACCATCTACTTAATTGTTTAAATCAATCTTTTACAAATATTCGCTTTTCATTAGTGGAACCTCTTGCAAAATTCACTAGATTTGTTTTTTTGTAACTAATTTAAATTACCTGTTTCTATATGTTTACCTGTTTTACATATTTTTATTGGACACATACTTGTGTATCAATTCACTTATTTATCCTAAAATCTTGTTTGATTTTTCTGACCATTCTTTTATGCGCTTCTGTTTAGCACCTCTTCAAGGTTAAACTTTCCTTTAGAATAACTTTTATTATTACTGGCATTTTAAACCAGCATCAATAAATGGTTTGTTCCATCTGATAAACATCACCGTTTATGCTTTATTCTGCAATTATTAGAGCAATGTAGTTATTATTTTTTAATCTTAAATTGTGTGATGTGTATTACAAAAGTTATATATAAACAGGTTTGTCATAAATTTTCAAAGTAAATTTTTGAATGTATTTTATAAAAGAAAAATTATATATTTCTTATAAAAATTTTATATTTTTTATAAAAAAATATAAAAAATTTATATTTCTTATAAAAATATAAAAAAATTTATTTCATATAAAAAATTTTATACTTCATATAATCTGATTTTTTTTTTTTTTTTTATTTTTTTTTTCAAATTTCAAAGTTGTGACAGCAAATTGTGAACTCATTTTTTATTTTATAAACTTTAATTTAGATTATAAATTTATTTGTTGCTGTAATAATGGACAACTTTGATTACTTAACTCGTGATTGGTCAATACTTGGCCCACACCACCTAGAAGAATATGTTCGTACTTGGTCTGAATATGATCCAAATGCCACGTAAGTGTTAAAACTTTTTTTATTATTTTTATACAAATTGCTGGTGGAGTTAGTTAATTTTGTGTATACTTTTTTTTAAGAGGGCGTATGAAGCATATTGATATTGTTACCATGTTAAAAAGAATTGAACCCCCTCTTGGTTTTGGTAAATGTTGCCCTCACCGAGAAGCTTGCAAAGTAACTTTTTTTCAACTTGTTCAATTTTGCAATTCGATTTTTTATTTTCCATTATCTTATATAAATAAATATATTTCTCTTTTTTCTTCTTTTTCTTCTCAACTTTTAGTTATTTGGTGTTTTTAAACATTTTAGTTAGTCCTATATTAGTTATTTGATTTTTTACTTGTTTTTATTTGATTTTATTCTTTATTTTACAGCGTCTTGTTAGTATGAATATGATGATGAATAATGATGGAACAGTTGACTTTCATTCTACATTGTTTGCGCTCATCAGAACATCGCTTAATATTAAAAGACCAGAAGGTTTGTTAAAAATATGTATATACGATAGATTAGGTATAATGAGCTCAAAGTACCTTAAGCAAAAATTGGAATATTTTAAAAAGTAATTATACTGGATCCAAAAATAAAAAACAAAAAAAATAAAAACAGAGGTTTTAAAAAGCAGCGAAAGTGCCCATTTTATCCGAACCACTTGATAATATAAGCACTTTCAATTAGTTTAAAAAAATATCATTATAAAAGTAAAAAAAAAAATACCAAACTGACAATTAAAACTAGTTTAAATATAATGATTTTTTATTAACAAAACTTTTCATTAAAAGATCACGTTTGCCACTTTTTATTGAAACTTTGTTTCAATAAAAAGTTAACAATAATAAAATAAATTAATTTGTTTTTACTGAAATTATAAAAAAAAATCAATTTGTTATTTATTAAATTATATTAACTCGAACTTTTAAACAAAAAAAATGCAAATTTATTAAAATTAAACCAGAAAGATATTTAGTATTATTAAAATATTAAAAATCTTTTACTGTTTTGCTTTTATTTGTCAACCAATCAAAAACACTGCAATTTTAGGACTATGTAAATTATGTAATTTCATTAAAAACACTGTCTAGTTTGGGCATGGTCATACTACATGAAAATATCTTTAAAATAAGTCAAAAATAATTGTTCATATTGTTTTTCAAACAAATATGTAGCAAATTTCTAGCTAACATATTTTTCTTTATGGAAAAATAAATATCTATATTTCGACATCAAAATTTCACACCACAGCACAGTGGGATAAAATTGAGTTTTTCGTGCCCAAATTATTTTTGTAGTTTTTTTTTTAATTAGAATAGTTATATTTGTAAATAAAATGTATAAATAAAGTAATAAACATGTAATATAACAAAGAAAAATAATAATAAAAAAAAGTCAAAACAACTTTTATCAGCGTAAATATCAAAATTATTACTTTTCAATGCATAAAATAACTTTTTAGATAGCAATAAGGGTGTTAAAACCAGGCTTTTTAGAAACCCTATGAGATCAGCAGGAAGATGTCCAAGGAGATCAACATAATTAATACAAAAATGTTAACACTCTTAAAAGATGATGTTGGAGCTAGGTCATTGACTTCAGCTGCTAAGTTATTACTCACTGTTGCTAACATGGCAAAATGGTTTGACAGGTGCAAGACATACTGATTTTACTGTTTTCAGATGAAAAACTTTTTACAGTGGACTAGATCTCAAACAATTGAAATGATAGAGTTTTAGGAAAATGAACAATGTTAAACAAGGCTGCTGCGTAGAGATTTAGGTTAAGCATAATACTTCCAAAGACATAGGTTAGATATGAAAATCTTGACTTCAAGTAAAACCTTTTGACTGCAAGCAAAGTATTCTACTATGAGTCTACTACCTATCTGAAGAACTATTAAACTATAGTGTAAAGTGTCTGTTATAGTGTATGGTAAGTTTTCGGCTCATAATAAAGTTTTTTTGTATGGCTACAAAAAAAATTTATATCTCATTTAAAATATTCTCACAATTAATTTATGATAAAATGTTCTCACAATTAATTTATGATATATTAACAATTAAGGATTTTATTTGTATTTAGTTAATCCATTAAAGTTTTTGTTTTTTCCCCACAAAAAAATTTTAAACTTATTGTTAGTTCAACTTTGTGAGAAACTTTTTAAAGTTTTTGCTTTTACTAAATAAATATTGCTTGTACATGTTTTTTTTATTGTTTTTTTATTTTTTTATTTTTGTATATCTTCTCGGTTAGAATTCAAACGGTTTAAAGAAAAATGGGAAGTCTTAGATTTTGAAACAAACATGAATATTATTATTATTTTTTTTTTTTTTTAAGCCAAGTCAAACATGGTCAAAGAAAATTATGAACTTCGTAAAATTATAAAGCACATATGGCCACGGACAAGTCCAGACCTTATAGATAAAATATTACCTAAACCTGAATGTAAGTGCATTAATAAAACATTTTTGTTGTTGTTTTTGTAACAAAATGTTTCAAAAATGGAAAAAAAATTGTATTTACTTTATGATAATAAAAAAACATTTTTAAGGTGATGAAGGAATCACTGTTGGAAAGTTTTATGCTACATTTTTGATTCAAGAATATTTCAGACGCTTTAAAAAAAAGCGACAGGAAGAGAGGAGGAAGAAAAATGCAGAGACAACTGTTTCATTAATGGTACATTTTATTTGAATTTTTTTTTTATGAATAAGGTGCATGAAACAAGTTATTTCTCATTCTTTTCATCTGGAAATTGTATAGGCAATGTTTTATTTTTAAATTTTAATTCTTTTTCAATTTTTAGCTTACATAGTTTAGTTCAGGGGTCGGCAATTTGTGAGCCGCGGCCCAATTGTGGGTCTTTGCTACATTATTTGAGGGTCCCAAGCCACCAAACTGCATATTATACAAAGTAGTGAAGTTGTGGGCTTTTTAGTTATTTTCCGGGCTGTAAAAATTCTAAAGTCTCTTTTTAAAATACTCACCAGATCTTGTCATTTTGGTCATATCAAAGAAATATTTTTTTAATGTCCTGAAACACTGTAGTACTTTAACAGTTCAAATAAGATCCTAATACTTAAAAGTTAAGTCATGCTAAGCAAATGACTCAACAAAAATAAAAACATTTGAAAAGCGCGTCGAAAATAGTTAACATTCGAATTTGTTCAGATGAAGTAACTTAAATAACATAATTTAATTAATTTAACGCTATAAAAACATTTTTGTAACAAATATACCAGTGGTAAAAATTATCGTCTTAGTCTTTAGGATGTTTTTCGTACTTTTCTTGAATAGAAGTACTACATTATTTAGATTTTTTATGAAATAAGTATTATAAAGTAAATTGTTGGTAAATCTTTATAATTTTTTAAATAGCCGGTTATTTAAGACACAATGTTAGGATATTCAATAGCAAAAAATTTGTCAAGTGTTACCAGTTATCGAGTAACCGGCTATCGAGTTTGGACGTTTTACTCAGATGTTGCTAAATACACACATTAACTTGCAAAGTTAATGTGTGTATTTAGCAACTCTGCTAAATACACACATTAACTTGCAAAGATATGTCAGGAAAACATGAACCAAAGCGTAAATATGCACGTCAGTGGAATGAAAAATGGGAGCTGATTTATTTTTTTACTGAAGGACCAAGTAACAATACTCTATGTTTAATATGTAATGAGATTGTTAGTGAACTGAAAGGAACCAAGCTTGAACATCTTTTCTTATCAAAACATGAATTGTACAATACTAAATATACTCTTGATTCAACAACCAGAAAAATGAAATTGACAACTCATTGAAAAGCTGTTTAGAATAACAGAAAAATTTGTTTCAAAAAATGTCTAGCAGTGTTGGTTGTGAAATTCGTGCCTCTAATATGGTGTCATAGATATTAGCAAAAAACCTGAAACCATTTACTGATGGTGAAATAATCAAAGAATGCATGATTGAAGCATCAAAAGTTCTTTTCCCAAATGATAAAAAGATACGTGACAAATTTCAAAGTATGCACTTGTCCGCGCATACAGTTACTCGAAAAGTTGAGAAAATGGTTGTTAATGTTTATGAACAAGTGTCAAACAATCTGACAGAAGCTGAATTCGTGAGTATCGCTTTCGATAAGTCTACTGACCTTGTCGGTAAGGCACAACTCTGTGTTTATGCACGTTTTATCACTACGAATTGTTGTTTATTTGAAGAACTAATTGGAATTGAACCACTGGCTACAACTACAACTGAATAAGACATTTATGACAAATGGTTAAAAATATTAAAAGATAAGAAAGTGCCTTTTTATAAAATATCTTCAGTTGTCACAGATGGTGCTCCTGCTATGATTGGAAGAATTCAAGGAGTTGTTACTTTGCTGAGAAATTGTGGTGAGTTTCCTAACAAATTTATGTCATATCACTGTGTTATACACCGGGAAGCTCTATGCACTAAAGTTGCAACAATTGATGATGTAATGACAGCTGTAGTAAAAACAATCAATCATATACGTTCCAATGCACTCAAGCAGCATCAATTTCGTGCGCTAATGAAACAAAATGAAGATGAACATGGTGATCTTCTTCATTCAAAGGTATGTTGACAAAAAATAAATAATTTACCATTACAAGCATAGATAAATGTTTGTCTATTTTTTGCAGGTCAGGTGGCTATCAAGAGGAAAGATTCTTGACCGATTTTGGGAGTGTTTGCCAAGTTTAGTGCAGTTCATGGTAACTCAAAAATTTTTATTCGTTACTGTATATATTGAAGAATTTAAGTGTAAACTGACTTTCCTTTGCGAAATCACAGCACAATTCAATGTTCTGAATAAGAGATAACAAGGCCACCATGTGCTAGTTTGTGATTTGATCAACCACGTCACTGTGATGAAGACAAAACTTAATTTATACAAAACTCATTTTGCATCTGGTAATTGTATTCATTTTCCTACTTTAACTGAATGTCAAGGGAAACCATCAAGGGAAATAGTATCATCATTTTCATTAATAGTGACTGCTCTGTATGATCAATTTGATAACAGATTTAATGAGTTTGAAGACTTAAAAAAGCATATGGTATTTTTGTGTTATCCATTTGACTTTGATAGGAATGATTTTAGTATTCTAAAGGACTTTAAAGAAGTTGATATTTTAAAAGCAAAGGATGAACTAATTAATTTTCAATGTGGCGACGAGTTGAGAAGAAAGGCACCAAAAAAAGATAAAGATGGCACTTTTGGTGAAAATTTAATTCTTTTCTGGCATGATGTCATGAAGGAACATTTTCCAGTTCTTAAAAAACATGCAAATAAACTTATTTGTATGTATGGTACTAGTTACCAATGTGAGCAAACATTCTCAGCCATTTAAAAAATTATAAAAAATGTTTACAGAACAAGACTGACTGACGCTCATTTGAATAACCTTGTGCTAGCTGCAACAACAAAATACTCATCAAATTTTTAAATTTTTTTTTCTTAAGTATGTATTTTGTAATGATACAATTATCATAGTAATAATACATTCATTAGTTCTTTAATCTAATTCTATACTATATTATATTATATAGTTAATATAGTATATTTTGTATGTAATTTATTTATTGCTTTATTTATTTGTGGGCCGCAACTAAAACAAGAATTTGCAAGTGGGCTTCTTTGAAAATACGGTGCCGACCACTACTTTAGTTGAAAAATATAATTTAAAAGTTACTTTAAAAGATTATTATATACAAATACATAAACCAATATCTTCTCCAAAAATGTTTTACAGATAATAATAGGTGAGTTATTACTAGCTTATTTTCAGATATTTATAAGCAACTCATAGCTTTTTTAAGCTTTTTCCTGAACAAACATTTGTTGATTTATAGTAAGACAGGATTCAGGGATTTCATAAGAACAATATAAGAATCATAATCTAACTACAAAGGTAACTTTTTTAAACTAGGTTACAATTGCAGCTAGGTTACCGTTGTCAATAGTAAATGCAGCTAGGTTATTGTTGTTAACAGTAAATAAGCTAATTTGCAATACTAATCACATTTGTAAAACACTGAAAGCAACATATAACATATTTTTCTAGATTTTCTTATTCTGTTTGAAAAACAAAATGCTTTATAGGCTTTAATTATCTTAGCCTACCCAAACATTCTTTTGTTTAATCATCATATCCAAGCATTGTTTTGTTTAGTTATTTTACCCAAGCATTATTTTGTTTAACTCAAATTTTAGTAATAATTCTTTATAATTATTGTTAATTTTTTTATACAAAATAATAAATCTTTTTTTTAAGTTTACTCATCAATTTTTTTTTAACTTATTTTATTGATGTATCCTTGTAATTGAAGTATTCGTTTTTATTTTTGATTTATGTTTATGATTGGGTTTTTAACTACTACCTAATTTATTTCTATCATAATTTCTCATTATACATATTCTATGTTGTATATATATATATATATATATATATATATATATATATATATATATATATATATATATATATATATATATATATACAGGGCTTTGGAGCAGCTCTGGAGCTGCAGCTGGTGATTTTATATGGAGCTGAGCCGGAGCTGGAACTAAAATATTTCCTACCGGAGCTGGCTCCGGAGCCAGCTCCATCCTTTTGATAATTTGAAATATCAACTTTCCATAAAGTTAATTTTTTAATTGACCCCTCTCCCCCACTCGAGTGTAGTTTATGTATGATCTTTTATGTACGTACTTTATGGACGATCCTTAACGAAATCATGTTAAGTTACATGATTTGTTTCAACGTTTTTAATTAGTTGAAACATTTTTAAAATAGATATAAACATTTAAGTTCCAAATAAAATTAGGAAAAGATTTAAACATTTTTTTTTTGATATTGATATTAATTTTGTTTATACTTTCTTTTTTATTATTTCTCTTATCTTTAAAATTTGTCATTTGCTTTATTATCATAATTTTTTAAAAATTGCTTTAAACTCAAACAATCCTGAGAGGTTTCTAGATCAGTATTTTTTAATTGATAAAACTTCAAAACTGGTCACATGTCAGATTACAGAAAAGTTAAATGATAAAGTAATTTCATGCGCCATGCAAATAAAAAAATAAAAAATTTACAATATAAAACAGCATTTGGAAAAATCACATCTATCAGAATATAAAATTGTTGAATCTGAAATGCCTTATGGCCCAAAGTAAATCTTCAAAATTATCTTATCACATTCAAAAGATTTCAATACTAAAAAAACTAAACAGATTACTTTAAATTCTTTTGTTATTGCTAGTAGTTGAACAATAAATCAAGTTCGTGCTAAAACTTATAATATTGGCAGTATTAAAATGGTAGTGAATAACTGAGTTTTGTTGAAAAAATTTGAGGATGAAGAATTTCAGTTGGTTACAGGCCAATTAGGTAAAACTCTTGGATTCAGTGCCGGGCACAATTCTGTACGCAATTTGATTAATGAATTTGCAGAAGAAAAAAAAGCTGAAATAAAGAAAATATTGTTACAGAAATTTATTTATGTTAAATTAGATGCAGCCACTCGACAAAAAAATAACTATTTGAAAAAAATAATTCAATGTTTATAATAATTATTATGCGAAAAAAAATTTTGGCACTGATAGATACACAAGGACAGCACAACCCTATCGTTATCAAAAAAATGGTGGAAGATACTCCATA